TTGGGTCGTTAAGGGAGAGGGGGAGACGCTGCAGACTTGGCTCCCCGCACCCCAGCACCCTGAATTGCTGCGCATCCCAAGAACATTCCTGAAATTAACCCTTGGAAATAGAAACGGCAATTTAATGTGACACGCTAGATGGGGGAAAAAAAATAAAAATACAGCGAGAAAATCTGGATAGCTGTCTCCTTATTTATTTTTTTTTTTCAGATTCCCACTGAAAAGCAGAGGAATTTATATATATATATATCTATGTATGTATAAAAAAAAAAAATTAAAATCTCCATTTGGCACATGATCTGCTCACCCCGTTGTCTGCACAAAGTATTATGCAGATCCTCTTGTCATCTTTCCAAGGGTGAAATACAACAGCCTATGTGTGCGTGACGTTTCCCTGTCTGATCTAGTCACCACACAGAGCCACCATTATGAAATAGTAATCTCTTAACCTTTACTAGCAGTAGTTCCTCTTTCTGCATCTGCCGTGGGTTTGTTTATTTTTGTTTTCTTCTTAAGTGACGGTAATGAGATTTTATGAGTTCTCAAAGCTTTTTATGGGGCTCTCTAACCCTCTCACCTCCACTTTCTCGTGCAATAACACCACTGTTTGTCTAACTTCGTGATGTCTCACTCCAGTCTGTTCCTCCAGTCTGTTCCTTCAACAGAGGGCTTCCTTTTTCAAGAAGGGATTAATAGAGGCCTCTGAAAGCTTTAGACAATAATAGGGAGGTATAGACAAGTGAGAAAATACTGCTTTAGTAGATCCTGGAGGAAAACTGATGGTCAGTTCCATAGTGCACCTGAAGCAGCCCATTCCCGGGGGCTGTCAGAAGAGGGAATTAAGTGGAGGATTTCTAGACGCAGAAAAACAAGTCAGGTTGAAAAGAAACTTCATGTCACAGCTGCCACATCAACACAGACTGCGCTGCCACAGCGGCTGTCCCCTCCCATGTCTCTCATTACCAACACCCTCCCATGGCTAGAAAGCCACCTGGGCCACAAAGTGTTGTCATGACAGGACCACACACCTTGGGACCTGGGCTCAGAACCTGGCCCTGATGGTCATTTGCTCTGCGTTTCTGGGTTGGTGCTCAAGGAACACCCTCATCCCAGCTGCACACTTGGAGTCCTTTCATCCATCAGCAAATGCCAGGAATGAAACAAGGGGCAGGAGCATCATAACAGCCACTCAGTGTCTGATCTTCAGAGGTGCCAGGTTCATACAGATGATGTTCTTCCAACTAATGGGAACCACAAGCCTTGTGCACCTTGGAAGACCTGGGCAATGAAGAGCAGTAGCACAGCATATCCCAGGCAAGGCTTTTGCTTGGTGGAGTTTCTTCTGTGTTCTGGATTGGTGGGTAACAAGGGCTGGGTCTCTGAAGCCACACGGATATGGCATATGTCTTCTCCTGCTGGTTACTCTTGCATGTGAGAGGTTCAGACACTGGTTTCATGAGCATTTCACATGCAAACAGGACCATTAGGCACTTCTTAAATAGCATCCCCATAATGCTGTACCCACAAAGGAAGATCATAAAGAAAAATTCAGGCTAAAGCAAACCAAGTACACTAATGTATACAGACTGTACTTTACAATCATTTGCTCTGAACATATTTACACAACATTTGCACACAGATTTGAACAGGAATGGGAGATTTATTGTGGTTGCTTGTAAAAAGCTGATTTAAAGTTCTGCTGCGCAAAAACTCTTCATAAACCAACCAACACAAACATTACAAGTTCTAGATTGTAAATTTCACACTATAAGTCCCAGAGGAAAACCATCCCTGTTGTCTGCATAAACAGAACTCCTCTTATTTATACAAATAGGTCTCAGTTCTACAAATGTTTACGATGAAAGTGATGTACTAAGGTACACTCGTTGGGATCAACTGTGGGACTAACATTACCAGTGAAAAGTTTGCTTGACAGGAATTCTCTGCTAAAGACAAAGCATGTATAAAGTAGGAGACTTACTTTGGTTTTGTTCACTGATTTGTAGATAGAGACAGAAAAGAGACTTGAATGAGCATCACTCCAGTTAAGTACCATTTGATCTTGCTTCCTTCTGGAGAAGGAAAGACCTGCTTTTTAGTACAGGTTTTATAAGATGGAATTTGAAAAAGCACACCAGCACTGTATGCTTCATTTACTGCGGCAATAACTGCGTTTTGTGTTCCCTTCAGACCCAACAAGGTTTTCCAGCTCCCTTTCCTGGAGAGATCCGTTCCAAGCAAACACAAAAATTATGCAGATTAGTTTTCAGAAGAGTTTTCAATTTAATATTTCAACACAAGAGCTCAAAATTGACTTATTTACTGAATCATATTTACAGAACATAGCGAACACGGTGTTTTTCCTGTTGCTGCCATACAGCACAGACTGGGACACAATCATCCCAGTTTGACAGAATCCAGAGGGTTTGGTTCCAGAAAGCAGTATTTTAGCAGCAAGGAAATGACTCCTCTTTATGTAAAACAGTTCCCTCTTGTGGATATTCTGTGTACAGTACCACAGGCAAAGTATTTGAAATATTCATCAAACCTGGATCTTTGCAATTTAAAAAACCCTCCATTCAGCAATGATCTCAACATACAGGACAATCTTGGCTTTAGCAATTAAATATACAAGTAAGAAAGAATGAGCTATTGCATTTAGTGAGATATAATTTACCTGCAAAATTGCTCATTACTGATAACAAATTATTTAATTAAGTGCAATAAGCACAACAAAGCTGAAGAAAGCTGCATAACGGTACCTGTATGAGTCAAGCATAAACCACAGTGGGGTTTTTATTTTGCTTATGTAAGAAAACCTTCTGCCCATTCCTATAAAGAAAACCATGATTAAAAAAGAAGGAAAACATACACTACATAAAGAGAGGAAACGACGACAGCAAACAGTTAGGCTTTCCAAGGGTCCATGCACTAAGGCCCTGAAGACAGAGAAACTCTTTGGCATGAAAAATCATTCAGTTAAAACTAAAGAGTCCAAGCAAGTAAGTGGCACAGCTTAACTGGTGGCACACTATTGCACCAGGGATCAATTTGGCATAAAAAACCCCATATAAATGGGGTAACGGTGTGAGATTTATACATTCTCTAAATGATGACTACATTATACAAAGAACATTTTTTTCCTTAAGAAATATGAGTGAATAAACATGTACTCCCCACTTTTGCCAAAAGGCATCTGGTCTAGCCGGGTCTGGGGAAATGACAGAAAACAATTGCATGTTATTATCTTGAGGTAGATTATATTTTTAAAAGGCTAAAAGCCTTTATATACTAATATACCGTAAACTTGCTTGCCACAACCTGTTTGTTTAATGGTTATATATAAAACCTTCCCATTTGAGAAAAGGTACAGAGTAAATGTTGAACAAGCAGCTTCAGGTTCTCTAAAGGTAAATACTTTCCCAAGGTAAAAAAGTCAAAGTTCCAACAATTAGGTATGTATTTATTCCCTGCAACACCAGGCTGCAGGTCGCTACATGAACAATCCCTTATAGGATGCAAGGTTGTTTCCTTACGTGATAGTTTAGCCAGCATAAATAATTACTAGTTGTGACCAACAGCCGCCTCCTTGACATTTTCATTGTCACCATGGAACGTGCTGTTTGCTTTTATGTAACTTCAGTAGCTCTGGCAGAACAAGAACTTACACATAAAATAATAATAATACAATAATAATAGTACAATAATAGTACAATAAAATAATAAGAATTTTTTTTTACTAGTCAAAGGGGTAAATCTGTGTTCCTGAGATCAGTGGGGCATTTGGCCTTGACTTCAAATGGTGGAGATGCAGTATCAACCAGACTTCACATATCATCACAGGTGTCTTGCATAATTAACTCTGAGTCTTGCTTTAATGCTATTCCTTACTATTCCTGCTTTGGCCTGGGAGAAGGGTGAAAAATAATGCATTTACAGTTATTAGACAGGTACAGGAAACAAAACCTTATCGTGAAATAATTCTGTGAGATTTTTGGTTTAATGCAAAATGTTTGCTCTTCGAGATGCTGAGGAAGATCCTGTGCTGATGTAAAACACACGTAAGCGTGGATCTGCTGTCCTTGTCTTAAAGACTCTAAAGAGGAAATATTTGCAGTAGGTGATACTAATATGCATAAAAGAGTAGCGTGGCTGCATATAATTATATATTTGCATATGATGAATGATTATCTTTAATCTTTTTTTCTTTTCATAGTTTAGTCAAACTATTTCAGTGCATGTTAACTGGAAATCCTGTTCAGCTTATTTTGCATCTACCCAATCCCTGTTCAAAGACCGAAGTACATATTTAGCATGATAATATATTGCACTCTATAACACCTTCTTATCAAAGCACT